GACGGGGAGCCCACTCCCTTGCTGAGACTGGGATCAGGCACTTGGTCACGTGATGATCTGAGAGGGCAGAACCACGCACAGGCCTGGTGTTCACGTCCGGATCCGCAGGCTGGGAGAAGGGCTCGGTCCAGTGTTGGTGCTGAATGAAGGAAGGTGCTGAAATCTCAGCCATCGACCCACCCACCCCCACCAGGACCACACAGAACAAGCCTCCAGCGCCCTGGCTCCCAGGAGCTCAAGGGTCCAGCCAGGCCCAGACCTGGGGATGGTTTGGGGTGAAGGAAGAATTCCCCTCCCCCCACCCACTCCATGAAATAAGTTCCATGGACCTTCTCCACCCCACGCCTACCCAGACTTACCGGCAGCGCCCAGCCAACGCGCTGGCATCCCGTGCCCAGCTCCCGGCTCCCGCGTGGACCCCCACAGGCCCATCCTGGAAGACAGAAGAGCCAACCACACTGCAGGAGGAAACCGCAACCAGGCCCCTCCCCGGGCCCGGGCCTGGGCAGGACTCGCTGCTAACCAGCCTGTTTCCAGAGCTTTCTGTCAGCACAGGGACTGGGCACGAGTCCAGGATGTGGGGCAGGGGTACTGAGCCCCCTGCCCTGAGAAGAATGTGCCCTCCAGGCGCGGGTGCTGAGATCCCCACGTGACTGCCAAGCAGAGGAGCCCTGGCCGAGTCTTATCAACATGATGACAAAGGGCCAGGACCGAGAAGAGCAGGCAGGCCAGCCACCAGGAGTCCCCAACCTCCTCCTGATGCCAGCTCCGCGGTGCGGTGCTCGAGATGAAGTAACTAACTCAGCTCCTCACAACTTCCTGATGGTGGCGTTTATAAAATACTCGCCTCGAGGTCACAGAGGGGTGCGAAAAGGCCCATTGCGGGGGCCCCAGAAAGTGGGGACCAGCCCCTTCTTTGTGGCAAAGAGGGAGGAAAGTGAATGAGCTGCATCACCAATCTCCCCTCCCACCTGGGGGTCCCGGGATACCGCACTTCCCTGCACAGACCAGCACAGGGCAGGCGGGTAGGCTTCGGGCTGGTCAGCTTGAATACTTATCTGCAAGGCTGCTTCCCGCGTGGTCTTGACCGTCAGAAGCTCTGAGACATCCCCTCCTCTCAGTTCTGCCCCAGGAACTGGCTGCGCTCTGTAAAGAGACCCTCAGAGGAGCATCGTGTGACCCCAACGTCCCTTTCCCTGGTCCCCGTCCGTGTGCCCAGGAGCCTGATGGCCATAAGGCGGTGGGATTTTCAAGGGCAACTTTAGCTCCTAGGTCAAGCCGACAGCTGACTAGGAGGGCAGAGAGGAAGGCTTTGAGGTCAAACATGGGTGACTGGTCCCCAACCCCACATATCCAATATATGACTCACAGTTAATCCTCAGGTTTAGCCCCTGCCGGGCACACAGTAAGTGTTCCAAAAATACTTTTGCCAAGCCCGGCCGGTATTGCTCAATGGTTGAGTGTTGGCCCATGAACCAGCAGGTTGAAGTTCAATTCCCGGTCAGGGCACATGCCCGGGGTTTGGGCTTGATCCCCAGCAGGGGGCGTGCAGGAGGCAGCTGATCCATGATTCTCTCTCATCATTGATGTTTCCATCTCTTTCTCCCTCTCCCTTCCTCTCTGAAATCAATAAAAAATAAAATACATTTTAAAAAATTACTTTCACCAGTTAATGATATTTAAACTTGGAGTAAAACTTTGTGGAATACGGATGTCCCAGAAATACAGGCCATATTTTTCCTGTGGCATATACACCCCCTTGGGGCCGGGGGAGGTGCGGGGGGAGGGTATATACCCAGTTAGGAATCACAGACCTAATTCAAACCCCATCATGGTGATTGGATAAACCAACCGTAGTACACTCATTTAATGAAACCTACTCAGCAGTAAAAAGGGACCAACTGTTGATAATACTACAGCACAGATGAGCCTCAGAAACATGATAGGGAGTAAAAGAAGCCAGGCGCCAGGGGCCACATGCCTGGCGGCCCCATGTATATGAAATGTACACAGAAGGCAAACCTGTGGAGACAGTAAGTAGGTCAGTGGTTGCCTGGGATTAGGGGTGGGATGGGGAGATTAACGGAAAGTGGGTGTGAGGGGTCTCATGGGGCAAAGAAACGCTCTAAAACCAATTTCCGGTGCTGGGCACACAACTTGGTAAACTCACTAGAAATCATTGAATTGTGCACTTGGAATGGGTGTGTTACTTGATATTTCAATGATGCCTCCACGAAGTTAGATTAAAAAAAAAAAAAGGATAGGACTTCTGACACATGCAAAAACAAGTACAAACCTCAAACACATGACCCCGAGCAACAAAGAACCCGGACACAAAAGTTCCCATATTAACGGCACTTTCGAATTAATGCTCTTATCTCGATGCATAGAAAGCCGATCCGTGGCTTCCTGTGAATGGGGCTGGAAGGGGATGGGCAGGGGGACACTTTGGGTGATAAAATGTTTTCTCTCTTGATTGCCATGGTGATTACAAAGGTGTATACATTTATGAAAACACATTGAGATGTATGCTTTAAATAGGTGCGTTTCATTGTATGTAAATTATGCCTCAATAAAGTTTTTGTTTTCAAAAGCCGTTTAGATGTGTTGACAGAGGACAAGCACCAAGAAGGGCTGGATGGAAGGCCATACAGAGACCTGGTGGGGGGCCCACATGAGCCACACCCCACCCACTTGAGGCCAAGGTGAGCCACACCCCACCCACTTGAGGCCAAGGTCAGTGCCCCATGAGGAAAGCTTTGACTGAGGGACTGGACCCCAGAGATTCCTAGGGGTCACTCCTACCTCTGAGAGTCAGGTCTCAGCGCATACGGGTCTCATGGTGGACCGGGGTGCAGAGCCTGACGCTGGTCTCTACGGTCCCGCGGGTGCACAGGAGAGGAAAGGTCA